CCTATTAATGACTGTTAGTATAAGGGGGAATATCCCGAAGGTCAGTCCTCTACCCTGCTGCTTCCCGGATTAACCGAGGAATGATCGGATGCACTTTGTGTGTTTGAGAGGGGTCATACTAAGGTCCCGTGTTAATGGTCTTGAAACCCCACTTCGGCGTAGACTCTTCAAAAAAAGAGGTATATACTTTTTTCGGTATAAGTAGCCATGATAGGACCCCAGAACCAAAAAAAGGCATTAAAAGTATAGTACCCCAAAACCCAGGATAGGATGAAACCCCCAAGCTCAGAAGCTCCCCGCTCCAGACACCGCGATGCCGGAAGCTCCCCAGAGCCTCTATCCATGCCCTTCGGTACGCTTAGAGCCGAAAGCACCCTGAAGCCCGAAGCCCCTTGCCACTAGTTTCTGTACTCACCCCTAAGATTCTTCAATGAAGAATCTGATCTTAAAACGTCCCCTTTTTGGCTTTGTAGAAATAGCAATACAAAAAACAGTTCCGAAGGGGGCTATAGGTTTACCCTTAGGCGTTAAAAAATAGCCCAACAAATATTATGGCCTTTCGGCCCCAAGAAACCCTTCAATAAGAGCCCCCTTAGGATATTGTAATCCCCAGCCAGGACTGTTAGTATAAGGGGGAACAACCCTAAACCCTAAACCCTAAACCCTAAATTCCTAAAGGGGGCTATGGGTTTAGGGCTCCCTTGTGAAAACAGCTCCGAGAGCCGAAGCCTTCAAAGCAGTCCCTGACAGCAATCGCGGCCGGGGTCGGGAACCTGGGACAACGAGGCAACCCTAAACCCTAAACCCTAAACCCTAAACCCTAAACCCTAAACCCTAAACCCTAAACCCTAAACCCTAAACCCTAAACCCTAACCCTAAAACCTATAGACCCTAAACCCCTACTAAACCGTAAACCCCAACCCTAGAAACCTAAACCCTAAACCCTAAACCCTAAACCGTAACGAGGTTGGCCCCTTTAAGCCCTTGGAGAAGTATCCCCAGATTCTATGATCTTAGGCCCCAGGGAAAACGCTAACAATCAGTGGCTTCGAGAAGTTGTGGTGGTTGCCGGCTTAGTAGAGTGGCGTTTAGCCAAGTTTAGGGTTTAGGGTTTAGGGTTTAGGGTTGAGGAGGGTTTTGGTAGCATTTAGGAGTTTAGCGCTGCTGGAAATGGAGGCTTTGCGATATGTGCGCCTCATTTTATTCGGGTCTAGGGGTTGGAAAGCGCCCACAGGACAGGATTCACGAGGGCTTTGCGAGACTCGTCCGGCCAAGGAAAGCTCCGTTAGGTCGTCAACTACAGGAACTTGACAATCCGCAGTCGCACTCTCTCGCCCTCTCGATCTCTGACCCTTATTGCAAGCCGCACGAAAAAACGAAACGCTCCAGAGTAGAGATGTTCTACATGCAGACGACTAATTTGGCAACTTGGATTTCGGACTCCTGGGCAACAGAAATTTGAAAGACTCCTTGATGATGTGGGGAACCGTGCTGGACGCGCCCAATCATCTGCTGAATCTAAACCCCTGAAGCCCCCAAGCAACCTCTAAAGAGCCTGCTTCTTGAACCCGAGCATGTCACGGGGGACTGCTCTCCAACAGAAACCCCCAAACTGCAAAAGAACCCTAAACCTACAACCAGTCTATAACCCCAAAAACCCCCTAAACCCGAAACCAGCTCAACCCTAATCCTAACCGCGTGAACCGTAAACCCGTACCCAAAATCCTAAGGCCCCAAAAGGCGAGGCTCTCGGGCACAACGGCCGCTGGCCACGCAGGAGCGGCCGTCGGGTCCTTCCAAATATGAACCCTAAACCCTAAACCTACCTAAACCCTAAACCCTTAATTTATCGAGGGATCGATCCTCAATATGATTAAAGGTCTATTCCTCACTGAAGGTAGGAAGTTTTAAGCCCTAAACCCTAAACCCCTAACCCTAAACCGAGCTTACATGGAAACCCCGTCCCTAAATCCTAAACCCTAAACCCCAAACTCTAAACCCTAAACCCTAAACCCTAAACCCTGTTTGGCAGTTCTGTCGTTTCCGAGAATTGCAACCCAGGCGGAAGCCAAGGCCTTGGAACCCGAATCTCACATGGGGGGGCCGCCTGAGTTTTGCTGGGTTTAGGGTTTAGGTTTTAGGGTGTTAGGGTTTAGGGTTTAGGGTTTAGGGTTCAGGGTTCAGGGCAAAGGGTGCAGGGTTTCGGGCTTAGGGTTTAGGATGTAGGGCTTAGGGTTGAGGGTCCAGTTAGTTGTCCAGCATCCTTGGGAAAATCAAAAGGGTAACCTTTGGGGTTAGAATGGAATATGATAGCCCCGAAAGGTTCAAGTAGTTGGTTCTGCTTTACGAAAGATCCCCTTGACTACGTAACGAGGGCAAACCCTTTGCAACGAGCTTGTTTGCCCCTAAGCCCCAAACCCGACAGTGATGCTTTCAAGCCAAGTCCTTATAAAACCCTAAACCCGAAGGCGATTTAGGGTGTATAGGGTTTAGGTTTAGGGTTTAGGGTTTGGGGTTTGGGGTTTAGGGTTTAGGGTTTAGGGAGAACTTCAAGCCAAGTCCCGAAGTCTAACTCCCAGGGCCTGGATCAGCTTGGCTACTCCGGCACTCCAGGGCAGCATGGACATCGAGACACCGTTCCTGGCGTTTAGTTTAGGGTTTATACTTTAGGGTTTAGGCTTATAGGGCTTAGGGCTTAGGGTTTAGGCTCCAAAGTGCTTCCTTTTTGGGTTACTGCTAGGGATATTCTAGTATACTGCCCAGAAATACTACATAGGAGTTAGTTTAGGGTTTATTGCCCCGTTCATGCTGGCATATTCTGGCTTGCAGACCGCTGGGACTGGCGACGTGACATGTGATTCCAAGGGCGTGAACCAGGGTGTGAAGGGTTTATAAGGGGCTTTCAGTGTCAACCAGGTCATGATCTCCTGCCAATGCCGTGACGGTTCCAGGCCCACGGCCAGACTCGCTTAGGAACTGAATTGCTTCCCAAGCGTGGGCCATTTGACAAGACAATTGCAGCTCAGCCCCAGATCAACCACTAGCACATTGACTGAAGGGTCCACTGGTGCGGTTTCCATGTTGTGCTCCCACCCTAAAGCCTAAACCCTAAACCCTAAACTCTAAACCCTAAACCCTAGACCCACGGTGCTTCTTTCCAGGCTCGCCATGCCGCGGATGCATTCGGGCTCAAGGTGTGGAGAAAGTGGGCTACTTCGTACTCCTAAACTCGGGTTTAGGGTTTAGGGTTTAGGTTTTAGGTTTCAGGGTTTAGGGTTTAGGGTAAGACTACTTAGAACCCAACTTGGAAGACCTTCTGGGGGGTTTACAAAAGTACAGCTGTAATTGGGGTAAGCCCTATAATTGGCCCTAAACCCTAAACCCTTAATCCTAAACCCTAAACCCTCCTGAACCTCCAAGCGCCCGTTACTTTTCTACAGTTCCCCCCCCCCCCCCCTGGAAGTCCCGGAACCTGGCAATGACGCTCGGCATCCCAGTGCCTACATAGAACAGGTCTAGGGTTTAGGGTTTACTTGGGCCTTAAAGGGGTTCCTATACAGTCGCTTTAGGGGCCCAAGTAAATACTACAAAAGGTGAAACCAGTATCCGTGGTCTTTGGGGTGGGGGGAGGACCCTAAACCCTAAACCCTAAACCCCTAAACCCCTAAACCCCTAAACCCCTAAACCCCTAAACCCCTAAACCCCTAAACCCCTAAACCCTAGCCCTAAACCCTAAACCCTAAACCCTAAACCCTCAACCCTAAACCCTAAACCCTCTTAGGGTTCATTCAGTCCCACTGAAGAGGTTCGCCAAGGCGCATGTCAAGAGAGGTGCAGAGAAGGCCCGGGCCGACCATCAGCTTCACGCTGCGCCCCCACTTCGAACCTTCACATGTTTGTTTAGGGTTTAGGGTTTAGGGTTTAGGGTTTAGGGTTTAGGGTTTAGGGCTTAGGGTTTAGGGCTTAGGGCTTAGGGCTTAGGGCTTAGGGTTTGGGGGTTTGGGGGTTTGGGGGTTTGGGGGTTTGGGGGTTCGGGGTTAAACGGTTTAGGGATTTGGGTTTAGGGTATAGTGTTTCGGGTTTAGGGGAAGGAGGTAAAGGGGGGAGGAGGGGTGAGGAATGTGGGCTTGAGCTTTTTTTTGTAGGGCTCAGGGGGTGTGGGGTATGGGGTTTATGATTCGCTTCAGGCTTCCTGTAGTTGGCGGGAAGAGGGGGTTTACGAAAAACAAGGGACCCCGAATATAAACTACCCAAGTAGAAGGACGAGGAGGAGAGGAGAAGGAGAGGCATTTGGTCCAGAGGCACATGCATGGGTTTATTACCCTGTGATGCCACAGCTGCAGCGTGGGATTGGGGACTTCATCATGTAAAGCACATGAAGTAGTAGAAGTGCTACTGAGTTGCGCATCAGGTCTGCAACGAGGATGCACATCTCCTGCATGAGGGAATCTAGAGAGATGTGGGCTTTGGCTTGAGCTAAAGGGTGGAGGGTTTAGGGTTCTGGCTTGGTGGACTTGAACATCCCCCTCTAAAGGGCTTGCAAGGACACCCCCCCCTACTCTAGTTTTAAGAAGAGTTTATCAGGGCCGTAAAGGAACTAGAAGTATTCCAACTTGGTCTACAAGTCCCTGGCCTACAAGTCCCTTAGCCATAGACACTTTTTTTTTTTTTTCGGGGGGGGGGGGGGGGGGGGGGGGGGGGGGGGGGGGGGGGCAGGCCACCACGTAGAGTCTCGGAGATGGAGGCGTGTAGCCATGTAGAAATGGCGCTTAAAGCCTAAACATGGTCCTCCCCAAAAGGGAGAAATGCAAAATATCCCAAGGGCCTACCTACTAGTATCCTTTCAGTTTCATCTCTAGTCTAGGGTTATTGGGGTTTGAGAGGCTTCAGATGTTTTTGACAGGGTGAAGGGTTTTGGGGTGCTTGGGCTCAATCTGTTCATATAGGGTTGAGGGTCCAGGCTTCTTGGGGTTGGGGGCTTACTTGGAGGTTCGTGGGTAGCTATAAGTCTTATAAGTAAGGTTATCAGTAGCCTACATGTGGTTTAGTATAGTTACCATACCTATAACCCTACTTAGAACTACCCATGAACCTCCAAGGAGGGGCTGGTTACCGGCTTTAGCGGGCTTCGGGGTGACCCTAAAAGCCGCGCTCCACATTGCTTGGCTGCACTCAGGAGGGTAGCTATAAATTAAACCTTTAGCTGCCTTAATAAGAAACCCAATAAACCCAAAAAAGGTAAGGATCTAAATAGTTACAGTAAAAAACCACAAAGATTGCAAGCGTCTGGAAGCTCCGGCGCTCCTGCGGAGGTACCCCGCCCAGGTTGTTCACCTTGGCTGCTTGCAGGCTCATGGGTACTCACAACCCCGGGTATAAGTCTACTTACTTACAACCCACTTGGAGGACTTTTGGGGGCGTATCAGTAGAGTTATACTTGGCGATAGAAGTACCAACTGCAGGTAGTCTTGAGTGGCTGCGACTTGTTTCTTGTCATGAATGGCACAAGGAGAAAGACTGAACTGTGGATGAGTTGCAGGCAGCTGCGTGCACCTCATCACAGACCTAGTCGCATCTGTGCTGAGTGCACCCTTCTCGTCCCGATTCTCCCACTTGCTCGCCGCGAGCACCCACTTAAGCTCCCAACCCCGCACGAGAACCAAATATAACACCCTAAACTCCTAACACCCGCAACTCCTCCTCCTTCACCCTTCTACACCTTAAACCTTGCCCGAATTGTGTTGCATATCTTGCATTGCGGCATTGTGTTGCATGTTGTTTCGTGTTTGTTTTGCCGTGTTGCATCCCACCCTAAACCCTAAACCCCCCAGAATATCCCCCCAAATCCTAGCCCTAAACCCTAAACCCCCAAAACAGCCCCCCTAAACCCTAGCCCTAAACCCCAAACCCTCAAAATATCCCCCCTAATTAAACCCTAGCCCTAAACCCTTAAGGCCCAAAATATCCGCCTAAACCCTAGCCCTAAACCCTAAACCCCCCCAAAAATATCCACAACGGGGCGCCAAGCAAATCACGCCCTCCGCCGGGTCGGGGAGCTGACGTGTTTGACGACCGGCCTCGATGCCCTCCATCAGCACCTCCACCACCTTTTTCGGGGGTTTAGGGTTTAGGGTTTAGGGTTTAGGGTCTAGGGTCTAGGGGGTATTGAGCCCTACAGGTTTAGGAGACAAGGGTGTATGGGTTTATCAGGCTGATCGGGCTTCACCGGGGTATAAAGAGGGGCTTAAGGGCTTAGGGCGTATCCGGGTTTAGGGGTCTCAGGGCCTAGGGTTTAATGTGAGGCCTAAACCCTAAACCCTAAACCCTAAACCCTAAACCCTAAAAACTCAAGCAGCGGCAGCCGCGCCTTCTTGGCCTCCGCGCGTGGCTCCGTGCGCGCCCCGGGCTCCCCATGGATGCCGAGGCCCACCTTGCGGGGCTTAGGGTTTAGGGTTTAGGGTTTGGGGTTTAGGGTTTGGGGTTTAGGGTTTGGGGTTTAGGGTTTAGGGTTTGGGGTTTGGGGTTTAGGGTTTGGGGTTTAGGGTTTGGGGTTTAGGGTTTAGGGTTTGGGGTTGAGGGTTTTGGTGTTTGGGGTTTAGGGTTTGGGGTTTGGGGTTTAGGGTTTCTAAGGGTTTGGGGTTTAGGGTTTGGTGTTTGGGGTTTAGGGTTTGAGGGTTTAGAGTTTAGGGATGTTCCCCCTTATACTAACAGTCCGGATTAGTATAGGGGGTCCTATAGTCCTTATTAAGGGCTGTTAGTATAGTATAAGGGGAACATCCCAAGTTTCTAGGGCTTTTTGGGCTTAGGGTTGAGGGCTTGGGGTTTAGGGTTTGGGGTTTAGGGTTTAGGGGGGTTGTAAGCCCTACAAGGTTGAGGGGATTAGGGTTGGTTGGAACCATGGGCCCTTACCCTTGTTTAAAGGGATTTAAAGGGATCCGAAGTATGGGCCCTTATCATGTGCATATAGGGGACCCAAATTCAGGGCCCATACTTCGGATCCCTAACCATGCGCGTTTTATATAGGCGTTTTGGGGCTGAGGAATTAAAAGGGGTTTAGGGTTTGGGGTTTGGGGTTGAGAGTTTGGAGTTTAGGGTTTAGGGTTTAGGGCTTGGGGTTGCGGGTTTAAGGTTTAGGGTTTAGGGTTTGGGGTTTAGGGTTTGGGGTTTGGGGGTTTGGGGTTTGGGGAGTAGGGTTTGAGGTTCAGAGTTTGGGGTTGGGGTTTAGGGTGTAAGGTTTAGGGTTAGGGGTTTAGAGTTGTGTTCTCTTTAGGGTTTCTAGGGTTTGAGGCTTTTCCGGATTTGGGGGTTAGGGTTACCCTGCTGTTTAGGGTTTTGGGGTTTAAGTGCTTTGGGGTGGGTTGTTTTTAGGGTTTAGGGGGTTTGTAGGGTTTATAGGGTTTAAAGGTTTATAATTTATAGGGTTTGATAACTGACGACAAAGACTCTAAAACCCTGAGCCCTGAGCCTAACCGCCTAACCCTAAGCGCCCAAGACCCCAAAGAACAAGGACTTTGGGGCCAAAAACAGCTGAGAGGCCTTGAATAGTGCGGGTTTTGGGCCCTTAGGGTATCCCTAAAGCCTACACCCCTACACCCTACACCCTAAACCCTAAACCCTAAACCCTAAGCTGTCCGTACATTCTGGCCTCCATCTTCCCCAAGCCGATGGACTCCTAGAAGTGCACGTTTCATGGGGGGGAGGGGGGTTTAGGGTTGAGGGTTGAGGGTTGAGGGTTGAGGGTTTAGGGTTGAGGGTTGAGGGTTTAGGGTTTAGGGTTCGCCCTCCCTCCCTTCGGTGTCAACACTATGTGGGAAGTTCTCCTTGGGGGGTCCATGTTTTAGGGGTGCCGTACGAGTCAGAAGGACCCAAAGAAAAGGGGACCCTGGGACCCTAATTTATGATAGAGAACTACCCATGTTTGGGTGTATAAGGGGTGCCCCGATTTTGTGGAATAGGGAGGAGGCTTCGCAAATTGTCACGCCGAAATGCGAAGCCTTGAGCAAGCTCCTGAAACATACACCACGCCCTTCAGCAGCTACTGGCAATATAAAGCCTTAGAACCCTGAAGCCCTGGAGTCCTTGAATAAATACTTGCACACTCATTGGGCCCTAAACCCTAAACCCTAATCCCCACAACCTCGCAGAAAGGGTGTCCCACCACCCCCCTTCCCCCCCCCCCCCGTCCCCCCCAAACCCCTGGAGGGGGAGGGGCCCCCCTTCTTGGAGCCCTTAGCCCTCAACCCTAAACCCGACAACCCTGAATAAACCCTAAACCCTGGAACCCTGGAACCCTGAACCCTGAACCCTAAGCCCTAAGCCCTAAGCCCTAAACCCTAGACCCTGGAGCCGAGGCGCGGCTTTGAGTCGTCGAACCACAGAAAAAGAGACGCCCAGGCTGACCTTAGCCAGACCCAAAGAGGATTCTAGGGTGAGGGTTTAGGGTTTAGGGTTTAGGGTTTAGGGTTTAGGGTTTAGGGTTTAGGGTTTAGGGTTTAGGGTTTAGGGTTTAGGGTTTAGGGTTTAGGGTTTAGGGTTTAGGGTTTAGGGTTTAGGGTTTAGGGTGTGTCAGGGGAGGGCGCACGCTCGGGTGTGAAACACCCCGGGCCGCGCGCTCGCGTTGCCCGTCAACCCACCCCGGCCAGCCAAACTATACTCTATTAGGGTTTAGGATTTATGGAATTTATTTTCTTGTGCTGTGATCCTTGCTTTGATGTTTTTTTAAAGTTGCGCTGTTTGGGTTTAAGCTGGGGTTGGGGGTAGCCTCGGCCCTTTTCGGGCCTTCGGCGTGTCAGGGCCCGTAGAGGCCCTTATTTATTTGAAGGTCAGGGGAACCCTTTGTGCCTGCTCCTGGATTCCCCCAATTACGCCTTTTGGTGGCTCTTGGGGCCTTTTGGGGGCTTTCCTGGCCCTGCCAGGGTAAAATGAAGGAAAAAACCATCGATTTCAGTACCAAAAAATCGCATTTTTCATTGTGGGTACAGGCATCCTGGGGTCTCCCTTCTTTTAGGGGGCTTTTTGAAGCTTTTTGAAGCCTTTTGGTTCTTGGGGTCTCTCGGGGCCCTGTTCGGACCTTCGGCGTGTCAGGGGCCGTAGAGGCTTTATTCATTTGAAGGTCAGGGAACCTATATGAGTATTTCAATCGCTAGGGTTTAAGCTGGGGTTCGGGGTAGCCTCGGCCCTTTTCGGGCCTTCGGCACGTTAGGGCCCGTAGAGGCCCTTATTTGCTTGAAGGCCTTCGCAGGGTTTTGCGGTGTTGGGGTTTAAGCTTTCGAAATAACCTCGGCCCTTTCGGGCCTTCGGCACGTCAGGGCCCGTAGAGGCCTGGAGGGGGCGTCCTCTAGCCCCCTGCCCTTTGTTGGTGGATCCCTTTGACCCGGCGGGGGCCCTTGGCCTGCGGCCCTTGGCGCGGGGGGGGGGGTCCTTGGTACGCGAAAATCTGAGCAACCAGCCTGCCTGGACCCCTCGCCAGCCTCCTGGTCCAGGAATCCAGCCACCAGGGACCAGGGGGCCCCCGCCGGGGGGGGGGGGGCCGGCAAACCCTGTTACGATTTGGGGTGAAAAAACTTAAGCAACGTTAAAGGTGGTCTGGGTGCCCGCCATCCCTTAGCCGAGTACTGACGTTGTCGTAAAATAGGCCGATGTCCGTTGGCCTGTCCAGGACAGACGGTGAGGCTTAACCCTCACCTTTCCGTTTCTCTTTTCGCTTGGGCGCTCGGGCTGTAAGGCCCTCGGCCGAGCGTTCGGGGTCTGTCGCTCGACGGAAGCGACCCCTCACTTAGTTTAGGGTTTAGGGTTGAGGGTTTAGGGTTTAGGGTTTAGGGCTTAGGGCTTAGGGCTTAGGGCTTAGGGTTTAGGGTTTAGGGTGTAGAGGGTAACCCAGCAAGACAAGGGATGCCCTTTTAGAGTTCAATTCAAGGGGCTGATAAGGGAACCCATAAGCCCTGAAACCTGGAATAAGGGCCTAGTCTGGGTCCTAGATAAACCAAAAGCGCCCGAAAATCCTAAGCCCAGATCGCTCGAAACCGTGCTGGAACCCTTAAGAGGTTTAGGGACTAGGGCTTAGAGTGAACCGTCCTCGCCATAGGGAGCACTGCCGCCATAGACGAGCTGGCCAACTGCACCATGCCGGCACTCACATTCTTCGAGCTGTCCTCCGCGTTTTGCACCAGTGTCGGCCTCACGTTCTCCACATTCTGAGTAGACCCAAGAGTAGCCTACGCTCAAAACACCGTGCCCTTTAAAAGGGGCTTACAAAAGGGAATAAGGGCCTACTCTGGGTCCTAGCTCCGCGCCCCAAACCCTTTACCGTAAATCCGAAAAAGAGGGAACATATCAGAGGTGTGACCCTCTCAGTTCCTAGCTTGCGTTTCGTTTTAGGCCCTATACACCCGAAAGCCTAAACCCCAAACCCGAACTAAACCCTAAACCCCAGACCCCAAACCCTGAACCCTAAATCCTAAACCCTAAACGTAAATACTTTTATTATTATTTACTATTTGTAAAAATGATTTCGATTAATGACAATTCATTACTGAGTGCTATTTTTTCAACTACTAGCAATAATTATCATTACTAAAACCTAAATCCTAAACACTACAACTAAACCCACCCCGCAGGGTTGAAAACGACAAGTGGGTTGCCGGCCGTCTGGGCGATGACTTCCTCGGCCTTCGCCTTAATCCTCGGGGCTTATTGGATGCTTTCAAGGGCTTTAGGATAGTTGGTCTAGGGTTTAGGGTTTAGGGTTTAGGGTTTAGGGTTGCTACCCGTTATACTAACAGGGGGTTGACTATAATCCCTACTAAGGACTGTTTTTCGACTTGGTGCGCTTCTCGATTTGTGCAAGGGGTGTAAGGGTTTGGGACTTCAAGGACTGTGGAAAGGGTTTAGGGTTTAGGGTTTAGGGTTTAGGGTTAAGAGCACAGGGCATTCTGACCTCAGCCCCCACCCCCCCCCCACCCCAGTTCTCCGGAGGTTCATCTGGCCCCAAGGTTAGGGGCTAGGAGGCCCTTCAAACCCTCAGAAAAATGTTAACAAATATAGTCCACTTTAAACCCAATAGTCATGGAAAAGAAAAAAATATCCCAAGGGGCCTACCTGCAGTAAACTCCAGAAAGCTGGAACATGTGGATGGAGGACAATTAGAGCTGGGACTCCATTTTGCATATCTTTTGGGGTATGGGGATAAGGATGCTGAAAAACTGGCTGGAGTTTATTGTAGGGGTGTAGGGTGTAGGTTTTAGTGGGCCGCCATGTCTCTCACTCAGAGACTTGCCCTCCTCCGACATGGCGCCAGCCACCTCGTTTTTGGAAGCGTGGAGGAAAGGGTCTTGTTGGGCCACAAGGAGGGGCTGGGTGGCGAATGAGGGAAAATTGCACAACCTGAGCCCTAAACTCTAAACCCTAATACCTAGACCCTATTGAAGCAAGAAGCTGTAAGGGACTACATGAAGTCGTAAGCATGGTGACTTAGGTCTAAGCGTCTCTCCATAAGGAACCCGGATTTTTTGCGTTTTTGGGGACTTTTTTGCGTTCTCTTGATTTCTACCTGGCGGTCGTGAGTGATGGGGCGCGCCTCTGCCCTACTGTAGCCGATGACCTAGGTCTACCTCACTATCATGTCTCCCACGGCAAAGGCGTGTGGCGTACAATGTACCGTCGGGGCCGGAAGCCTACTTTGCAGGCGCATTCTGGCACCATTGGTAGTAGTTGGAAATATCTTCAGCAGTCCCTTCCACCTGGCCTTGCTGCTAGCCTTCCCGGCAACGAGCCTCGGGCCAACCCTGAGCTGTTGCAATATGTGTATCAGTGGTGCACTCGCTTTCATCACGATGGGAGGATGAGAGCACTGCTCCTCATGCTGGGTCGCTTCCTGAAGCAGAATCGCGTCAGAAACTTGCGAGACCGACGGGGCAACTAACTTTCGACGCAGGAAACAAGTTCCGAAATACTGCGCCTGCCAGCAACTTCAGCGGGTGCGCTGTGGAAGCGCTAGGACTTAGGTGCTACATCCCCTATAGCTACAGCTACTACAGTCACTACAGTACAAGACACTGGGGGGCTCCATGTAAGTACTATTTGCTGAACCCCAAAAGAATAAACGGTAATAAATCCCGATGTTTCTTAAGATTCTTAAGCATTTAGTAGTGTAACCACCAAGCCCTAAACCCTATTCCCGACACGCTGCGCGAGCGTCCGAGGTTTTGGCTAGACATCGCAAGACCCTCAAAGCCCTAAATAAGTTCGGGTTACGGTTTTGTGTGCAGGGTCTGTGGTTTTGGGGTGCATCGGGTGCAGGATTTAGGGTTCTAGTATCGGGTGCAGGAGTTAGGTCCCAGGGGTCTGTGGCTGGGTTCAGGAACCCTCGGGGCCTTGTGGACGAAGAGCGTCCCAGCAATGCCTCGCTCGGCTGAGGTGGCGACGTCATCCTGGAGGGATAGTGGTTGGGTTTTTAGGGCTATTAGGGCTCCGCAACCCTAAGACCATACTGCTTAGAAACTTATGAAAAATGGTACGTTTCATGTTCCCTTGGGATATATACACATATATAAATACATATAAATAAATAAATATAAATATATATATATATACATACAAATAATACAGATCTCCAGCTAGAAAGGGAAGGGTTCAGGGTTCAGAGTTCAGGGTCTAGGGTTTATACTATATACATCTTTTGTTTAACGGGAGCTGAAGGCGGCAACAAAAACAAGGAAGCGGGGGCATCGCAGCATGAGGGGCTCCTAAGACTTGAAGGACTTCACCCTAAACCCTAAACCCTAAACCCTAAACCCTAAACCCTAAACCCTTCGGCCCATGCATCCTTGGTGATGACCGTCTCCACATCCAAGCCGTAGATGGAGCGTGCCTGGGTTTAGGGTGAGGCTCATGGTGCTTAGTGACACCAATGATAACTGTACAGGGTTTAGGGTTTAGGGCTTAGGGTTTAGGATAACTGTACTTATAACCATATTAGGGCACTTAAGGGGCTTATAAGTGGGTTCTAAGTACAGTTAGTTGTTATGGGTTAATGAGTACCATGAGCCTCCAAGTAGGGTTTCCTGCTTAGGTGAGCAAGTCCCCGGGACCAAAGAGTCCAAGAACCATCCTGGGTATAGGGTTTAGGGTCTAGGGTTTAGGGTTTAGTAAACAGCGGGGAGGCAGAAATGCTTACCGAGCTACAACCGAAGCTGCAGGATCCGCCTCCACCAAGTTTATATGAAGAGCCGCATCTTCAACCTTTAGAAAATTAGATTGCTAGGTGGGCTTTAAATAAGGCAAGAAGCTGCTGCTTAGCATAGGGCTCATGAGATGCCACGATTTGGCACAGCACCCGAATCATCAAGGCCCCTTCCATCCTTTTGTGGGTTAGCTAGAGGGGGTCCTAGTATACTATCTTAGAAAGGTACTACTCGCCAATGGAGAAACATGCGAAATCCTAGACCCTACCCAAAGGTCTGTATGCAGTACCTTTTTTGAGGTAGTATACTAGAATCCCCTCTAGCTAACCCAGGCCCTAAACCCTAAGCCCTAGACCCTGACCCTTAAAGCTTAAAACCCCAAGCACTCTTTTAGCCTGGGCACCCGCTGCGCAGCCAAGGAGAAGTTCAGCCGATCCTCGCTTGGATCTGGCTGGGAACTAAAGAATCCCTGAGCCCCCCCCCCCCCCCCCCCCCCCCCCCAGACCCCATGATTCAGGTTTAGGGTTTAGGGTTTTAGGGTTTTCCGGTTTTGGTCTAGGGTTTACGGTTTAGGCCCCAAGGTCACAACATTCGGGGCCCCGGGCCCTTAGGGAAATTTCCGTTCCCTCTACAGTAGTGGATGTAAGGTACCCAATTGCCCATTCAGAACCAGGAAGCTTGTCGGGCTTTAAAAATCACACGGTGAAAGTTTCGGGGTTTTGGGCATTTCGTGTCAGGGATCAAAAAGGGAACAAGGAATTCAATGGGCGTCCCAGATTGCGGTTTAGGGTTTAGGGCTTAGGGCTTAGGGTTTAGGGTTTAGGGTTCAGGGTCTCATTCAAGCAGGGAGTGGCCGTAGTCGGGGCGACTAGTCCCCAGAGACCCTGAACTACTGCACCCAATTCAAAGTCAAAGTACAGCATAAAACCCTGAACCCGAAACCCGATACACCCTAAACCCTTATAAGCCCTAAGCCCTACTCCTCCCCCCAAAAGCCTAAGCCAAATCAACAGGGTCCAAGCAATCCAGGAACCTTAGGGTTTAGGGTTTAGGGTTTAGAGTTTGGGGTTCAGGGAGTGCTTGGTAGCCCAGTAACCATATAAATCTAAGGGCACGCTGTTTTGGGTTAGTTAGTATCATTGGAACCCACAACCAAAAACAAGGGTAAAGGGCGCCACTGGGCTCCAAGGTAAACCAACGTGTCTAATACAGGGGCCTTAAGAATTAGAATAGGGCTTTGGGTGGTTATTCTAGTAGAACTACTAAAGGGACCCTAAGGGAATACACTCTTAGCAATTATTCCCCGAAACCCAAAACCCTAAACCCTAAACCCTACAGCCCTAAACCCTAAACCCTAAACCCCCAAAGCCCTAAACCTCTAAACCACAGCTTCTGTCAGTGTCGGAGCCCTCTCGTTGCGGCGTAGGCTCTCCAGTGTAGTTCTTGATGACGAGCAGGCCTTCAGCCACGTCGGCTCAGGGTCCGAGGTCTGAGGGCTTGTTAGGGTTTAGGGTTTAGGGTTTAGGGTTTAGGGTCTAGGGTCTAGGGTCTAGGGGTAACACAAACCCGAAACTTTTTTGTTTGCAAGGGAGTGCCTGAACCCTAAACCCTTTGCCCCAAAAGCGAACTCCTGAAAATCAAGAGAGCGCGACGGCAGCTCAAGAAGATCTCCGGGGGCAAAGCGGGTTCCGTCTCTAGGCGTTGTACTTTGGACCCCTAAGCTTGTGCCCTTGGGTTTGGGGCCGATGTTTTGTTACGGGAAGATAAGGGCCACGTTAGAAGTATATTAAGGGCAACCTCTTAGGGGTACAACCTTAGGGGTCCGAGTCTTCTTCCCTTGAGTCCCCGAAAGGGCCCACAATTTCGGGACTGAATGAACCCTAAAAGGGTGTGCGGTCCATCGTAGCCTTTAAAAGATGAGCATCATAGTTGTATAGGGTATGTTGATCCTAAGTATAGGGTTACCCTAAACCCTAAAGCCTAAACCCTAAACCCTAGTATGTCGATCCCAATGTCTAGGGATCCCAATGTCTAGGGCTCACGGGGGCCCCCCAAGGCATTCGAAGAATGCCACCGCGGCACATCCCTTCGGCCCAGTCACCTGGACCTTGAGTTGCGGGTTTACGTTCGTCGTAGTGTGGGCCCTTACTTAGGGTTTGGGGTTTGGGGTTTGGGGTTTGGGGTTTGGGGTTTAGGGTTTGGGGTTTGGGGTTTGGGGTTTGGGGTTTGGGGTTTAGGGTTTAGGGTTTGGGGTTTAGGGTGTAGGGTGTAGGGTTGAGGGGTAGCTACATTCTCCCTTGGTATGGGCCCTTAAATGGGGACCTTTTATATGCCTCTCATGTACATATTATAGAACCCAAGAGCCCATACTTCAGAACCCTTGAGGTAGTGGACTTGAGTAAGGGGCCATGCAACTACCCTTGCTACACATCTGCAGTTTTTGTGGGCACTCAGGTTGCCCAGGAATCCTGTAAAGGGGGTTTATACTAATTACCTCCAAAACGGCAGGTTCCGGATTCCCAAGGGAAGGTGGTTGATAGTAATAACCTGCAAAACAGTAGGTTTGGTGTTCTTAAGGTAGGGTCTCGGGCTTGGGGCGACTGGGATTCGATGCGTTTGCCTAGAATCCCCCCCCCTCCCCCCGCCCGGAATTCCCCATTCAGACAGCCATGGCCCGCGTCACGGGCGAAGATCTTCAGAAAACAGCTCAGGTGGGGCTCGACTCTGACAGTAGCAAAGCAGGCAAAGCCAGGCCAATCCCTAAACCCTAAACCCTAAACAAGGCCGGGGCTCGATGCCCGCCAGGACGGCGTCGATCGAGGGAGAAGCAAAAGTCTCGCCAGAGACCGCAGCCGTGAGCATGCCTCGCAGCCGCAAATGTGCGGAGTTCTTGAGGGAGGGTTTAGGGTTTAGGGTTTAGGGTCTAGGGTCTAGGGTCTAGGGTCTATAGGGTTTAGGGTTTGGGGGGTTAATGGGGGCTAGGCACCTCGGGAGTACTAGGGAAGCTTAGGGAGCAGAGGGGAGTATTGGGGAATCTTGGGTTACAGACCCCCTTTTGAACCCCCCTTCCCTTAAAGACTTTATTTATAAACAAAGCGCTTTCCTAGTCCTTGTCTCGCAACAGAGCTTCCGGTGTGCTTAGTTTCTAACCCTAAACCCTAAACCCTAAACCCTAAACCCTAAACCCTAAACCCTAAACCCTAAACCCTAAACCCTAAACCCTAAACCGTGGCTCTGGAGCCTCAAGTCGAACGCTTTCTCCCGGCAAAGACATGCCGATTTAAGGGAGGAGGAAGTCTTCTTGCTTGCTCGTTTTGGGGCTTTGCGCATGTTCAACTCCCAGATTCCCAAAATGTGGACCGTATGACATCCCAATCAAGGAGAAATTGCGTCGGGTTTCCAGTTAGTTGGGGAATTGGGGGATTTAGGCCCTCCTAAATCCTGAAAATACCCTAAATACCCTAGATCCCACCCTGAGGATCAGGATTCCAAGCTACGAGGTCGTCCGCGAGTTCAAGCCAAGGGTCAGCCTTAAACCCTAACCCTATCCCTACGAAACCCTTCAGGAGCGCCGGAGCGCCCAGCCCCCTCTCCAAGCAGAGTAGGTTCGGTTTTGAAGTAGAGGTGCAAGTCAGAGGGGCACTGTCAGCCCGAAAACAAGTTGAGCAACAGGGGTCTTATGAACCAGTTCTGCGCGCCCTCCGCTCGAGGAATCTCAGAAATAATGCCCGTCAGTCAGCCCTAAACCCCTCAGCCTTGATTCTTTGCCTGGACTTTAGGGTGTGTCGGGTTGGAGCATGAGGTGGAAAACCCAGCACGAACGAAAGCCTCGATACGTAACTCGAAGCTCTCACCCTCATGCATCACCACTGTTGCTGTCACTAAAATCACCCGAATCTTTATAGGACACTATCATGATTCTGAGTTTGAAACATGTAAGTTGTAAGTACTATGCCCTCAACAAAACTCCCTTCTCGCCTCGCCCCACGAATCCGCCATGCAAGGGCTCGTGTCCGGCGCCTCCACCGCAAATCACCGCAACCTGACGCTAAGGGGGTTTTAGGGGGTTTCTTTGAAAACCGAATGAACCCTAAAATTGGGGGTCATGTACCCTATACTACTATAATTCCTTTAAGGTATATGAACCATAAACCCTTTTAGGGCTCATTTCGTCCCCAAGGTTCAGGGAAGCTTGTCGCCAGGTCAGCTGCCCTGCCCATGTGGCCAAAGGTACTCTACCGAAGCAAGGGCAGCATTACGTACCCTTTTTTGGGTGCTGGCGCGTGGGCCTGCTTTGTGGCCGCTTTGCGGAGTTTCTCTTTGAGCAAGTCTACCACTTCTCCCAGCATTGCCAAACCCTCGGGCTCCAAGTATCCCCAAAGTAGGGATTATTTACCGACTTGAGACCCCAATGTAGGTTTAGGGTTTAGGGTTTAGGGTTTAGGGTTTAGGGTTTAGGGTTTTAGGGTTTAGGGTTTAGGGTTTAGGGTTTAGGGTTTAGGGTTTAGGGTTTAGGGTTTAGGGTTTAGGGTTTAGGGTTTACTATTTACATGCTTGGAGCCATTAGGGAAACCCTCAAACAACTGATTTCCGCAGTGTCGGATTCGAGGCTTAAGGCGGCAGGCGGCAGGCCTTGTCCTTGTTCCAGTCTGTGCGGTAGACCACCTTGACATCCTTAAGGGCAGGAAGGCGGTGGGCGGCGCTTCTCTCAATGTCATAAGCTTCGCAGTCTGCTAAGCCCTAAACCCTAGCTCAGCAACTCTCAACCTTCCAACCCCTACTCCCCCTCTGCCGTATCCTACCGTCAACCCTAAACCCTAAACCCTAAACCCTAAACCCTAAACCCGCTAGTAGCAACCCGGACGATGCAAAGCGTCAGGATAGCCATCCAAACGCCCAAGGTTGGGTGTGGACCAGATCAAGCCATCGACGCAGTCCTGCGGCCGTTGTCGCTGAGATGGGTTTAGGGTTTATAGGGTATAGGGTTAAGGGTTAAGGGTTAAGGGTTTAGGGTTTAGGGTTTAGGGTTTAGGGTTTAGGTTTGCAAAACCGGACAACAAGAAGGCAAACTCCGGAAATGAACGATTATGAAACTACGCTGCGAGGTGGGCGACCCACAACAGAACTAGGTGGACCCGGAAACCTGCCAGCGTCCTGAGGTGCTCTGAACCCTTTGCAGCAGGCCTTCTGAAAATACCCTAAGCCCAAACCCAAAACCCAACCCTAAACCCTAAACCCTAAACCCAAAACCCTAAAACCCCACTGGCCTGCTCAAGATGAGCCGATGTTTCTTGGGGGCCAACGTACAGAGAATGCGAAACAACCCTAAACCCTATAACCCCAAACCCTAAACCCCAAACCCTATAGTTATCAGGGAAACTCCAAGGTGTAATCACAAGCACTGAGTTGATAATGCCGTTAAGCCATGCAGGAGCGAACGCTCTATTTTCTACTGCAGAGGGCTTGCGAGGTAATGCAACGGGACGATATGCACATGATGTTAAAATGCAAGGGTTATCGCAATGCAAAATTACACCCCCCTCGCCGAGTATTGGCAATGGGAAGGCGGACTGCACTGCAACCCTGAAACATCACTGAGCGCACATCGGCCTCGTCTTGCGACGGGCAAGCAATCACCTCGCGGGAGTAGAAAAGTGTTTGTGTTCACTAAGACATGCTCAACAGCAGCACGTCAGACACATGTGAATTCGATTTTGCTCCGAGGGCAAACAAAAGTCCGAAAATGCTTGCACTTATAAACTCCAACGATCGCGTCAAACCCGGAGGTGAGGATCGAATTGGTACCGTCAGCCGTTAAATTGAGGTGCGGCGCCGGTAGTTTCGGAGTTGTCACGATGTGACCAGTTGGAAATTAGGCGAAAAGAAGATTCATCTTTCTACTTGTGCAAAGCAACAATGAATATTGGCCTCCGCGTTAGCGGGGCGATATCAGTCGGATTTGCCTGCAACTCGGCTTCATTGATGAAAATATGGCACTACAGCTTGAAAGGGGCGGGGGGAGTGGTTTCACCACTGACGATTCCATCGTCCCCCCTGGCGGTAGCTATCCGTCCATTCATAGCGTGGGGCACGGTACTGCTCGCCACGGTTCTGCTCGCCCTTTCCCCTTCCCTTCGGCTTGGCTGACGCAATCTTTGCCTGTGCCTCACGTGACCGCTGGGCATCCTCGTCCTTCGCCAGGTAGGCTCTCTCCGCTGGTCCCTGGTTCTTGAGGATCAGATCGAGAATCCATGCCCGATTCTCGTCGAGGGACCATCGAGAGCTGCCTTTGGTCGGCTCCGTGCCAGTGAAGGTGACCAAGCGATGAATCGTGTCGGACTTCGCAAGGATCTGGATGAAGTCCTCCAAGCTCATGATGGCCCCGATCCAAGACACTACGAAGGCAGGATCGTCCGGCGTGGTCGCTAGACCCGCAGCAATCAACTCTTGAGGCGTGCAATTCACGAAAATCAGCCGAGCTGTAGTAAACGGATTGTCTGCCTGGAATCGGGCACCAGTGCCATGGGATCCTACCCCTAGGCGACGTTGTGCCTCAGTTCTTCCTTCATTTGGCAGAGCGGCGTTAATTAGAAGTTGGAACACACGCATGTCGTCAACTCCATGACCTTGGTCAATCATTTGGAGTGCGAACTGTGCGTCACCGCGGAACCTGTCCATTATGCCCTCGAAACCCAAATTACGTGCACGCTTGGCCATCTGCTTTGCTTTAGCAAGCGTTTCGGCCTCAGGCGAAATGGCTCCACGGGTACCTGCATCTCTCCGCATCTCCTGAAGGATGTCGCTGTCTGAGAGATCCCGATGGTGCCGGCCCAACGATGCTGCAGCACATTCCTTTGCGAAGTAACGTGCCGATTGCAGCTTTCTGCGATGGAGTTGGGAGCGAGGGGTAATAAAGGACTGACCGCAATGGATGCAAAGGGTCTGGCCGATGAGGTAGTCGTGCGCGCACTTGGGGCATACCCTTTTCGCATAGCTTGTACCGCTTTGGCTCGAAGCTGCCTGATCAATTGCCTCAGCATCTTCGGTCACTGCAGTGCTTGGCTGATCATTCTCCATCGGATCATCGGCCTCAGCGTTAGCTGGGCGAGATGACCCTTCGGTTGACGGCCTGGTCCAAATGTAGGATCCGTCCCTAGTGTCGCGCACGTAGAGTGCACATGTGCCAGGGACTTCTTCTGAACAGAGGACGCCGTCGCTCTCGGAGATGAAAAGCCATGCGTGCTGCAATACAAGCTTCGTCTCGTAGACGATTTCGATGGGAAGGTCGGCACGCACGCCACTTTTGACCTGGAGGTCCTCGAGCGCTGCAAGGGCAAAATAGTTGTGTGCCTTGCCCGAGTCTCCAAACCCAGGTTTCATCGACCCCTCAACAATTGCCAACGCAGCATCTCTGGTAGTCCTGTGGTACAGTCGAGGAGGACATTTTTCAATTGGTAATAGCGGCCTACCTGCGAAGGTGGCGGTATCTCCAATCTGCTCTTGACTTTTGGGGCTAAGCCAGGACACTGCGAGGTCTGCGTCTGTGTAGCGGTCGCGGGCCGATTGGGCGTGGCCCTGGGCACAATGGATCCAGACCGGGTAAAGGTCCTGGCCAAGTGCCTGGGAGCGAAGAGCATCTGGCATACACCGAAGTGAGAATCTCGCTTTGTTGTCATGGTAGACGATCGAGAAGATGCTTCTTGTCCCTAGAAGAATCTTGTACCGCGCCAACACGATGTCGATGAGTTCATCAACGAGCATCCATGTCCGATCCCACGATCGCCCCGAGCGATGGCCTCTGACCAAACCGGTGATCCCCTTCATGATGTGATGGGGAATGTCGGCTTCCTCTTCAGGCTTCAACTCGGCCTGAAGCACATGGACCATTCTGGGGTCGTCGAACGGGATCGAGTTGAAGTCATCGCGGTTGATTCCTCGCATCTCATCAAAAGTGAGTTCTTCTGATCGGGACCACCCAAGGTGGTAGTCTTCCACGTCATCAACGAAAAGAGACGGCTCGGCCTCTGCTTTCGCAGGGCTACCCCTCTTCTCGGTTTTGGACGACTTCACCTTGGGATAGGGGACGATCCACGGTGCCCGGCGCTTGACCTGCTCAAACGAGCGACTGTCGAGCTCTATGTTTCCCTCACCATCAGGTTCTGGATCTTTTGAGCTCGAAGCCGGCGTTCCCTTTCGGGACGCAAGATCAGCGTCGCGGGCCTTGGACTGGTATTGCTTGTCCGCATCTCGCCTTAGATGCCATTGCTTGTGGCCTCCCAGGCGGTAGTTGCTCGTCTCGCGAGCGACCTGCTCTTGCGACAACTCCACATACGGTTCGGTATCTGGAGCAATAGTCCTCTGCCAAGGTTCAAGAGTGAAGGCCCGTGCCGGAATCATGTGTCGATAGCCGGCGCTACTTTTTGACCACTCAGACTCGAACTCAGCAGGGACCCTGTAGCGCCCACCCTCACGAAAGGGGTAATCACGGGCAAGCTCCTGCAGCAGATCCTCCGGAACGTGCTGGGCCATGTCCTGCACTGCGGCCAGAACCGACAGTGCTGCCAGGTAGTTTGCCAGGCGGCTGCGGCTTTCCCTGTCCTCCCGAAAGTGGTACACATCGTAGAGGGGCAGCTCACCAGCCATGTTCGCAAACTCGAAGACGTTGCACCCCTGACCCTTGGCGTAAGAAAGCAACACTTTCATAGTTTCCTCCCATTGGTGTGGCAAACTATAATACGTTGCACGCCCTGGTCCAGTGAACGAGATCGCACCGCAGCACGGCCTGCCCTTGAGGGCGGCGATTCGTCGGATGTTGCCACACACTCCACTGGCAATCTGCGACCAATCGCCCTCAGCGGCGTAGCCTTCCGGGGGCATGTTCCAGTGCTGGAGATCCGGGGGAATAAAGACCCCATAGTTGCCGAAGAGCTCATTTCCCTGCCAGACAACCAGTATGTCGATCACCTGCTGTTCCTGCTGTTCAGGGGGCAACTGGGCCACCATTTCGTCGAAGGTTTCGACCACGGTGTCCCTGATCTTCCGGAGGTTGCCTCCCCAAATTGGCAGCACTCGCACCGTGGCGTAGTGATCCAAAGGGGCCCCCATAGAGGTCATCGCCTCAATGTCCTCAGCAATCGTGGATGCTGTTTTGGCGCCGGCCTTGAAGTAGAGGGTTGAGTCACCCACAACTAACAGCTGCCGAATGCTACCTCTTCCCGAGGCAGGATGCAAGAGGGCGAGACCCTCATCGGCCACAGCCGCTAGGCGGGCAATATCCGACACTGTAGAATTATCCTTGATGGCCAGTGACGTTGCTGTCTGGACCGGGACTTCATTGTACAGGTATCGGATGCCCTGGGTGTAGAAGGGGTTAATGCTGAAACGGAACTCTTCAGCAAACACAGCCCTCCACAAGGAGCCAATCCACCATGAGGCACAGTCCTCACGCGGGGTGTCGCCCTTCAGGTAGAGAGCGGCGGACATTGTGCTCGGCGTGGTCTTTCGACCCGCAATGCAGGGGCAGGCAAGAGAACTTAGGTCTACAACTTCTTTTGGGCGTACATTGTGGAGCTTACCACTCTTCCATGAATGAATGATGCTCTGGATGATGCCGTCCTTAGTGCTGTGATCATGCACCGCGTCTGGTTCGTTTCTGACCTTGGTCTCTGCTGTAAACCCTGCAAACGAGCACATGAAAATATCATGTCCAATGCGTGCAAACTGATGTGGGCATCGAAGTGTCATAAAGTTGTGCAGACTTTCATTTTTGACAGAATCATGCACATGCAAAACAACATCAATGCGGTAATTTTTCAGCAAACGTGAAATGGTCCTAACCGAACGAAAGCACTTATCACTGCTTTGACCCGGCAGCGACGCGTAAACAAGTACCTTTCCCCCCTCGTCGCAGAGGGTTTTGACTTGTCTGACGGTACGGTAGGCTTCGGTTTCGGTTAACTCATGGACATTGACTATTGTAACTCCGTGAAGCTTGGGCACGGACGTATCCCCACACACAATTACGACACCTTTGGGCGCAGCCGGCCTCGGCGTAGGCCGGGCTGCAGCAGACGGCGAGCCAGTAGTTGGGCTTAGCCTGAAGCCCGAGTGTTGTAGCTGCTGAGACAGTGTCGAACCGATTTGGGGAAATCCATGAGGAGTATACGCAATGATTGAGTACCTGTTTCCAGTCCACGGGAGAACGACATGCTTGCTAGTCGGGGAGAAGAACAAAGGTTTGTCCTTCTTGGTGAAAACGGAACCCCAGATGTCGGAGCCATTGGGAAGCTGTTGTTTAGTTTGAGGTTGGTTCCCAAGCCCCTCAACCCAAAGTCCTCCATCCTGAAAATCCCCGAATTGGATGGCAAGGTTCGTGCTGTCCTGGAGGTTTCGACTGTCAGTGTGGAGCTTCGACTTAGCATTCTTACTCGTTGCAAGGGACGCCCAAGTGAAGTCAGGACCAGCGTGCTGGGCGACGAACGCATTGAGGAACTGACACGTTTTGGGGTGTTGTGTAGTGGAGCGCGTAAGTCCTTGCTTTCCACTGAACCAGTACAAACCCCAGGAGTGATAGTACGAGTCCTCGTCAATCTCGAGCTTGTTCTTCCTGGTTCTACTTATTCGTTTTGGTAATGCCTGAATGATCCTTTCCGCAGTACAGCTGCGGAAGTCCGACTTCTCCAGTGCCTCGGTCGCCAAGGCCTCAGGGTCCGGCCGACCGGTAACGGTGGCTGAAATTGAGGGTTTGGCTACCAAGTGGCTATCAGAATCCTTTCCTTTAGGGGACTTCTTCTGATCCGGGCAAAGCACATGGTTAATCAATCTAAGTGCATGCAACCACTTAGTCCTTTCGGCGAAGGGTTTGGTGAAGATGTCGGCAACTTGTTCGGAGGTGTCGGCATTTACCAGATTGAAAAACTTTCGTTCGAACTGCTGCTTCAACCAGCCAAATGAGATCCTTTGGGTGCGATCGGTGTGCCTTAGCTTCTCGCTGTCACCCTTCAAAAGGATAGTGATTGTGGCCTGGTTGTCTTCGAGTACCTGTACTGCGAACTTGTCGCTGAGTGCGACATTGAGGCCTTGAAGATCAGCAACAGAACGTCCTTGGGGGTTACCACCATACCTAATTTCATCTAGCTCGGGGTCGATTCTAGCGACAATATCATCCGTGTCAAAGCGAGCCTTCTGTTTCGGCCGAGCCTTGCGGCTGGCGGGGTCAACAGAAACGTGCTTCCATAGAAACAACCATAAGCTCAAGCTCGGGAGTCCCTGCGCTCTGACACCATGATTTGCCGACACGACTTCACTCTCAGTGCTCGACATCGTAATGCTAGTCTGCTTCTTTGAGAAAGCATTCAGAGGATACTATGTGTTGGGCCCTACTAGGTACAATGCACAGCCGGAGGTAGACTTGTTGTCGTGCTCCCCGGACCAATCGGCATCACAGAATAACCACAACTTACAATCACTCACACGATCCCCGATGAAGCCCTGCATCTTAAGGTCGAGAGAAGAGTTGATGTAGCAGATTAGGCGGTGTAGTCCGACATCGCAGTCACGCGACCATTTGGTCACCCTAGAGGCTAAACTCTGTGTGGCACGCAGGAGGTCCCACCTTGCCATGCGGGCTGCGAAAAGAACTTTCATTAGCACACGACTGGCAATGGGCTGTAGCCTGCCCCCCTCTTCTTCTCCTTCCGTGGGCCTTGCCACACGGTTTTCATGAAAAGGAGTAGCGGCATACACGAGGGAGTTTTTGTCGACCTTCGCGAGTTCACAGTACCTTTCAACACAAGAGATGAGGAAGTCCTTCATGTCATACGTCATGACATTTACCGGCTTGGACATGGCTGGGATTGCTTCTTCACTGATGGAGTCCATAGCTTTAAACCTGCTCTGCTTTGCCTCACGCTTCGCTTCGGTTTTGGATCTAGCGGCAAGGGCATGCTTAAAGTCTTCGGGCTCAACAGTTGTGATAGGGAAGTAGGTCCTGCCCGTCCACCAAGTGTCCTGGCGCTTGGCTCCCTGCAAGTTGAAGTTGTCGTGAACAACCGATCCCCCCTCAACCTCAGTGAATCTTTCGGGTGAAATGTTCGGGAAACGCTGAACGTCATGTTCGTCGGGAACGTACAACCTTTTGCGAGGGTAAAGATGGTGGCGAATGACAGCGCCTAACTCTGGATCGACTTCCCAAAAGTCCTCCTTCCGAGTCGGCTCGGGGTTTCCCCCAGCTGCAGGAGCTGCCACCTTCTTGTCAAAGACATAAGCGAACGGATGTGCTTCCCTCGGCAACATGACCTTTGATTCCTCAAAATGATTGCACCCAAAATACCTGCCAAAAGGTTCAGGGGGATCTAAGTCTATGACATCGCTGATGGTTTTCCAGCCCTTGCTCATGTTTTCTGCCGGTCCTGCCATCTTGAAGTCGTCGACATAAACAACAAGAAGAAGATCAAGTTGTGGATGGTAGAAAATGGACTGCCATATCTCAGGCAATACAGCGACCCACCCAGCAGAAGTAAGCTGCTTCGTACAGTGCTGCTCCCAAATCCCTCCGGAATCGGGATGACCGTAGAGAGCTAGCATCAGCGGGCAAACAGGGTCTTTGTATTTTATCCACTCTTTTGGCCACCTGTTTCTAGGCAGCCTCACCCACGTCTCGACGCCTTTGAACAGGGCCTGCGTGTATGCTTGACGAGCATCGGCCTGCTGCTTGCTGTAGCCAGGCTGACTTCCGAAAACGTCAATCACCTTTGCGGCCTCCATGCTAGCGGGGCTAGATCCGAGTTCTGCAAAGATGGCATGATCGTTGTGTTCGTCGGAAACCCGGTTGCCCTGGAACACGCTTCGGCCCTTCCACTTGCGATCTGGGTGCCCTTTCGGTAGCTCGGACCCCTTAAGGCTGCAAATCTCAAAGATCCTGCCAAAATGTGCTTTCACCCCTTTCTTCTGGGCTTCACTAGCAACATCGGAGTACTCGCGAACCTTCTCGGACAACCAGCACTGCTTATCGACAAGCTTTTGCCACTCTTTGTCCAGTGCAGCTTGGGCATCAATGTTGCTGTTGATCTCCTTTTGTGATACAACTCTAGCAACAAGTGCGTACTGGAGCTGAGCGACCTCGCAGAGCTTATCAAAGTACATTCGGCTGAGCTTCTCGCGATGAGGTTCCTGGACCCTAGGTCCAACGGGCATTGCTGGGGCAGCATCCCTACGCTTTCTCTGTTCTTCAAGTTCAACCTTCCTGCGATACCTTTCGATGTCGGCCTCACGCTGGGTCCTAGACATGGAGGTCCAGAACTCAGAGGGAGTATCAGGAGGTCTCTTAGAGCCCCTCCTGTTTCGGACAAGTCTCACGCCATCCCAATTGTACCCCTGTGGTACTTTGGAACCATCGGGCATCCTGTTGGGATCATGAGGCTTCCATGTTGGCTTGATAAATTCGGGGGCGCTACTGGAGCTCGGTTCGGGAGGAGCTAAGGGCTTTGGTTCCCCTACCTCTTTGTTTTCCTTCTCCCTAGCATCGATTTCGGCGCATCTCCGATCGAGCTCATCCAACGGGTCCTCTTCTCCTTCAGGGACGTAGTCGGCAAAAAGCTGTTCGATGAGATCATCTTCGTTGAGGTCAGTAGACTTGTGCTGCTCAAAACAATTCTGATCATCAAGCGACGGAGGTCCTTTGTCTTCGATGGGGCTAGCAAGAGGGAAGGTAAGTTCCCCTAGCGGAAGCTCCATGCGTTTGACTCGGAGGATCTTGAGGCTGTCATTCTCGAGGGCATCACGGCATCCCTTTACGGGCGCTACAAGGTATTCATCCTTCCAGATGAAGCCTGGCTGAACATGGTACCCCAGAAAGATGCCTTCCTCTCCGGTCGGTGCAAACTTAGAGCTACCTGTAGCATTTTGCTTCGGATTATTCCAATAGATGATTCTAGCGCCAAACGGTATGGCGAGGCCACTGAATTCCTCATCAAAACGATCTACCCAAGGAACAGTCTCAGTGTCGAATCGCTTCGAGGTGTTCAGGGCCATGGTGTGATGCTGTGCGGCCAAAGGCCACATTTTATCAGGAAGCCCCGCCTGGAGAAGGTTGGCACGAGTGCCTTCGAGGACAGTCCTGATCTCTCTCTCGATGACAGCCTTGTTTTGATCAACATAGGCCCGAGAGGTATTGTGCCTGCAGCCAATCCATTTAACAGCATTTTCAAGCTCAAACGCATTATCGGAGTACACTATACCGACACTATCCTCAACTTGAAGAAAGTGCAGCAAGTTTTCGTAGCACTCCTCAGCGTTCTTAGAAACGGCCGGGTAAACATACCTGAAGTTGGACCAGACATCCTTAACCACGAATGCAACCTTTTCCCCCTCGAACCCAAAGTCTCGGAAGTCCTTCGTGATGACATGGTCGATCGTGATGTGGTCCCCGAATTTCTTGGATGCGATAGTGCTCGATCCTCCCTTCTTTCGTGCATGAGGGGCCATCATTTTTGCCCTTTGGCACACTCTACAGAAAGGATTCTTGGGTCGATGGGTGAATTTGTGGGCAGCAGTCTCGGCTTCCAGCCTAAGTTTTTCGGAACCTCCTACGTCGTCGGGCGCTTCATCGTGATCACTATCAGGTTCAGGTTCGGGATTGTCAGGTGGTCTTTCAAAGATCGAAATTGAGAGGATGGTCGGTTCTTCGAACTTAGCAACCTTTTGCGGAAGTTCTCTCATGTCGACCTTGTTCTCGATCTTGGACCATTCGCCTCCCCTGAAAACCCAAGTTGTCCTGATCACGAAGCTAGGATGTCTCGACGCAGGAGTCCTGAAGGCTTTGGGTCTGTGTCCGATGATTACCTTACGGTGTTCTTCGGTTGCGGTCCAACCTGTTTTGCTTAGCTGTTCTTTGGAAATGGCGATCGGCGGCACCTTGGAAATTGCATCGCGGACCTCAGGGTCAAGGTGCTTACCTGGGTCCTCGTCTTGTTCGTCTTCACCGGCGGGATGTTCATGCGCAGCACCGGCGAGCCCGCAAGGGCCGCTATCTACTGAAAAAGCGAGCTGCCCCCCTGGCTGAACACCGGGGAGACAATGTTACTCTCCTCTTCGATAGCTGGAGTGGCAACAGAGCCTTCTGCGATCACAGGGACCCTGCCTTTGAGTTTGCACTTCAGCTTCCTGCCGTCGGGAGTGACAAAGAAAGGGACCTTCCCCGCATGCCAGTGGAAGTCATAACCCTCATCCATGCATCTGCGCCCGACAGAGCAGACAGGAGGAGTGCTTTCTAGTAGATAACACTCAACTGGGAGGCTCAGTTCAGGGATATCGACTTTGACAGATTGATCCCCGAGTACTGGGCCATTTGCTGTGATTAGACTCACAGGCCTTGATGCAGTTTTGACCTCGACGCTCGGGTAGTGAATCCTCAGATCCTCCTTGCTAATGAGGTCTTCCTCGCTACCAGTGTCAGCTAGGAACTCTAGGCCGGGCACTATGCCTGAGCAGGCAGGTGCGGGGGTGCGTTCGCATGACTCACATGTCAGGTCTTCACACATGTAACCACACTTGGTAGGTACATCGTTCGTCATGCTGATCACCAATGCCTCAAGTTGCTTAGCTTCGATCCTGGCACGATTCTGTTCTTTCATGCTCGGCTTGGGGCAGTCCTCGGCGGTGGCGTAAGCCACGCTGAAACGACGTTTCCTCCTGATGTGCCTGAAGCCATCACCTTCCACAGGAATGGCCTTCATGACAGGTTCATCACAGAAGGTTACCTTCAGTGGCTCTATCTTGAAAGTAGACTTGCCTACCCAAGCCCTAGAGGAGGGTTCCGGCGCAGTCTTCCTCCAGTTCCATGCCACTGCAGCAAAGCGAGGGTACTCTGGGAAGGTTTTCTCTACCCTAACCTTGCTCTTAAGTCGCCGGACATTGATCGGGCAGTCGCTGCCTGGTGCAAACCAGCCTGTTCTCTCCACGCGATGGTGTCTGATTAACACTCCACCCTTGAAGTCGACCTCCCATGTGTCCTCCAAGGGGCTTGGTTGCACAGCAGGTGCTGCGAGGCAACACGCTGCTGCCTTATCCCTGCTCTTAGACCTACCTCGGCTTTTCGGTCTCCTAGGAGCGGGCGAGGGGGATCTAGGCTTAGGATTAGTGGGATCAGGGGTGGCAGCAGCCGCCTTAGCTTTCGCAGCTGCGGCTGGCTTCTCCTGGTGGAGAAAACGACAGTTCTCGCCCTTGTTGCACTTCCCTTTCTTCCAGAAAGTACAGACACGCTGAATTCTACCTCCGATCTTTGGGGCTTTGTCAGGCTTCTTCGAGTTCGGTGACTGGGACCTAGTCTTGTGTAGGAAACTGCATTTGTCACCACGAGTACAGGTACCTTTCAGGAAGTCGTAGCACACTCCCTTCGGGCTGTTTGACCTCTTTGGGGAGCTGGCATTGCTACTTCGCGAGCGGCTCGTGCTCCTAGATGGCGATCTACCTCTCTCACGGCCACCTCGGCTTGAGGGGCGAGACGGGCGCGTCGGGGCAGGAGCCCCAAACTTGTCCCCGTGGGACTTGGCGATCCTGTCTCGGTTTTTCCTGACCCTTTCCCTGGTAAGCAAGTCCCTAATCGACTGCAAAAGGAAGGAGTAGGTGTGAGAAGCAGATCCCTCCTTGGCACGGTCGTAAATCTCTAAGTCATACTTCATACGACTTGACTTCCTAATCTGTCTGAGCAGAATATCTCGTAGTACCATTTCCTCAGGGACATGGCTCATTCCTGCAATGACACTCTCCCAGTTGTGAAGAAAAGATGTGAGGTCATCTCCAACCATGTTAACCTTCAAAAGGTCCTCAACTGAGTAGAGTGAGCCCACTTCTTCGTTGGTTTTGAAGTGTTGTTCGAAGAGGTAAAGAACCTGACGACCCCTCACGGATCTCTTTTGGGCGGCCTCGGTTTCCTTGAAGTTCAGGATGTGTCTACCGAGGTCTCCCTTTGCGACCTTACTGAGTGCAGCGAGCAGCTTCGTGTCGAGAGTCACAAACTTTCCTGGCGCTCTTAGCTTTTCGTGTGATGCGTTCTTGTCGTAGACTTCAAGGATCCACTCGAAAGCATCATCGGGTCTATCGCTGGCCGCACGAATAGCTTCACGGGTCGCAGTCTTCCATGACCTGTACGTTTCGGGATTTGGGAAGTCTGGCAACCTAATGCTCTCGGCTTCCTTCACCTTTGGTTTGTCGTCTTCAGTCCTTCGCGTCAAATTCTTCCCTTTCGGTTCTTTGGTAGACCTGGAAGTTTTCTTCGAACTCCGAGAGGAGGAACTGCGATTGTTGTGCAGCAAAACTGTTGAGTTGTTGATGGTATTGCTCTTGCATCCTTTGGGCGAGGAGCGCCTCTGATTGTGAAACGTTTTGCTCAATGCTTGCAAATCGGGCTTGCATTTCGTCAAGCTCTTCGATTAATCCAAGTTCCCTGGTGGCTGACCGTTGTTCGAACCTCGCGAATCGCTCTTCGCACGATGCCATTCGAGTAGCATGTACCCTTTCGGCGAGTTCCTCAAGGTTCGAAACACCTTGTTCATTTGCACGGGCCTGTTCTTCCATGGCCAGTGTGTGCCTTCTCTCCGCTTCAATCTCTAAGAAACTTAGCTCCGTCCTAAGACGTGCTCGGTTCTCATCATGAACATGAAACACATTCGTCTGCGAAAAGAAGTTCGCCGCCATGCTGAGGTTCCGACCATCATGCATGGACATGTTAGCGAAGTTCACTGCTTGAGGGTACGACTGTTGACCTAGGTGCGTCTCTGGTGCCCCTGCTCGGCTTCCCGTTGCCGGGAGCAGCAGAGGTAGTCCTGTACGTTCTGTAGCTGCTTCTTCGGCAGGTACAAGTTCAGGTGAAGCATTCTCCAGGTTCGCATCCGCAAGCATTGTAGGCTATACGGCTGATAACCTATAGTTATCAGGGAAACTCCAAGGTGTAATCACAAGCACTGAGTTGATAATGCCGTTAAGCCATGCAGGAGCGAACGCTCTATTTTCTACTGCAGAGGGCTTGCGAGGTAATGCAACGGGACGATATGCACATGATGTTAAAATGCAAGGGTTATCGCAATGCAAAATTACAAACCCTAAACCCCAAACCCTAAACCCTAAACCCTAAACCCTAAATCAAAGGATTTTCGGTTCAGGGCACACCGACCTCTTGCCGGGCTTTGTAAATTTCCAGGGTTTGCTTTGTTCCTGGGCTAGTTGCATGGTTACACGGTCCCTTGATCTGGGCCCTTAGATGGGGACCCCTTGTACACCTATCATGCACCCTCTAAAACCCAATGGCCCAGACTTCAGAACCCTCTAAAGCCTAAAGCCTAAAGCCTAAAGCCTAAAGCCTAAAGCCTAAACCCTAAACCCTAAAACCCTAAACCCTAAACCCTAAACCCTACCAGATGAAGGGACCATGAAGCTATATCCTTACATTTCTCGCGCGCCAAATCGCCTAGTCGCCGAGGGCGGTCCACCATCCCCATAGAGCCCAATACCCCTTAATTAAGGAATATACCTTAAATCATATTAAGGACCCCTTTGTAAATTAAGGAAATTACCTTAAATCATATTAAGGATCCCTTTATCAATTAAGGCATATTCCTTAATCAAGGGGTATTGGGCTCTTTGGGTCAAGCGGTTTCGGAATTCTCCAGCAGAGGGCATCTGTCTTCTCTGCGGTCTGAAGTCGGGGCACGCCAGCCAGGTGTCTTCAAAACCCTTCATTGTTCAATACTTATCGGTTATATTATTCAAAAAATAATATTTTGCAAATTATAGGTTCAACACTGCTTCGGTGGTCAAAGGTCAGATTCGGAGCTGAGAGGATTTTGAGTGGAGGGGATCCCTGCAATCTAGTGTTGGCACATCCTCAACCGCACAACCCCAAACCCCGAACACCAGACTCAGACCCTAAACCCAGCTCAAACCCCAAACCCAAAACCCTAAACCCCGAACCCAAAACCCCAAACCCCAAAAGAACATGAGGTTGCGTGAAAACCCCCTATCCCGGAAGATATCCCTGAAGTATGTCATCGCTCTTTTTTTACTCTTATCGTTTTCTCGAGTTTTAGCAGCATTCTGAACGTGATCGTTCTTTTTACTCTTGTCGTTTTATCGAGCAAAACTCACATCTGATCATCTCGGGGCGCTTCTCTTTACTTTTCAATACCGGGGGGTTTTTATCATCCCTCACATGCAACTCGATCCCCGACGCTTGGCCGGCGCGGGTCATGCCTTACGCTTCAGCAGGGTCTCGCATCGAAGCTCAAGAGTGTGCTCTGTGGCACAAGCGACCAGGCGGTCGAATGTGCAGAGTACCTTCGTGCGTCCTGCAAAAGTTCAAATGCAAGCGCGTCCGGATCTGCATGATGCAAAACGGGCTGAGCTGGTCAGCCGGGAGACCAAAAGCAAAAGTAGTTCTAGGCTTTAGGGTTCTTTGGTACCTACCAACTCTCCACTGTGTCGGCCCAAGCAGCCAAACCCTTTGTCAACCCTACCCAAAGGCTCGTGTGCAGTACCTTTTCTGGGGTAGTATACAAGAATCCCCTTCATCTAACCCCCAAAAAGGAACTGCATGGGAGCCTTCAGATAAACCCTACAAGCCTTCTTATCCAAAAATGGTGACCCTCTCCCTCTCCGGACGCAAACGGAGCGGGGCGTGTGTAGCCGATGGAAAAGACTCAGGGCGCAGCCGGCCAGTATGTTGTTGTGTGCTTGTGCCCAGTTTAGGTTTTCAAGAGAACAGAGGATGTTTAGGATCGAGGGCTAGGGTTTAGGGTTTATAGGGTATAGGGTATAGGGTTTAGGGGTTGAGGCCCATCTGTTGGCAAAGTGGCAGCATCCACAAGTCAGCCTGCTTAGAGTGACCCCAATTAGAAGGTTCATTTGGAGCCCAAGGCTTCTTTGAAGGCTTCTTTGTGGTAAGATTGGGGGGTTCAGGGTGTAGGGTTCAGGATCTTGCGTGGTTTTTAAGGGGTATCGGGCTTGGGGGTTCGGGCGTTTCGTGTCTTTCATTGGGCTCTAAGCTGGAAGCCCCAACAACTCTGGTCGGCCAGTAATGCCGCTCAGATCAGCTCTGAACGCTCCGCGCGCTCAATAGGCGCTGGCAGCCTCATCAAGTGAGGGTTTAGGGTTTGCCCAAGGGCTCATATGTAGTACCTTTTTGGGGGGTAGCATACTAGAACCCCCTAGAACTAACCCAAAAAGGAACTACATTGGAGCCTGCAGGTAGTGCTTAGCATAGGGTTTTAAGGATTTGGGGGTCAAAATAGTTGGGGTTCTCGGGGTTTCAGGATTCCCGCGGCGCCAGCCTAGCTGGGGTGGCCTTCTTGGGCAGAAGGTGCTTGGGGCGCGCTAGACCTTAAACCCTAAACCCTAAACCCTAAACCTTGTGCACAAAAACGGTCAGAACGAAAGTTTAAAAAGACCCGGACCTCATACACTGGTCAGTGTTTGGCATTCCGCTTTGTGCTTGTGTGTTGGGATGTTCCCCCTTATACTAACAGTCCTTGATATATCCCTACTAATTATAAGGATTGTTAGTATAAGGGGGAACATCCCTGAACCCGAAACCCTAAAACCTGAACTATCCAAACTTGTGGTGGGCAGGCCGATCCGGCCACCGAGAGAAAACAAAGCTTTCAAACCCGGCAATCGAAATATGTCAAATCAACCCCTCAGAAGCTCCATGTGTAGTACCATATTGTGGAATCCCGTACCCGAAAACCACACAACATAGAAATTTCGGGCAAAGAAGTCCATAACTGTATAAATAAGTCCATAACTGTACCAAAACTGAAATTAGGAACCCAAAAAAAACACAAACATAGGTGGCTTTTGGGTACCTAACTCCATAGCTGTACCAAACAAATGGACCCCCAGGTTTTTCGGGCTTAGGGTTCAGGGCTTCGGGAAACCCTGTTGCCCTAAACCCCAAACCCTAAACCCTTATAAACCCTAAACGCCTTTGGAACCGGCCTCAGGGTCCCGCCATCGGAGCCTCCACGTACCTTAGAGCTGCGACCACTCATGTGTGAACATCCCAACAGCGTCTACAGATGTTAACTGGGTTTAGGGTTTAGGGTTAGGGTTTAGGGGTTAGGGGTTAAAAGTCCACAATAGTGTACACTGTATACTGGCTTCGGAACACTTTGCCTGGGAACATGCTTAGCCATTTGGGTCGAGGTAGTTCATGCCTGCTAGCCTCACAGCATCCCTTCAGCGCTCAGGGTTTGGGTTTAGGGTTTAGGGTTTAGGGTTTAGGGGTTTAGGGGTTTAGGGGTTTAGGGTTTAGGGGTTTAGGGGTTTAGGGGTTTAGGGGTTTAGGGGTTTAGGGGTTTAGGGGTTTAGGGGTTTAGGGGTTTAGGGGTTTAGGGGTTTAGGGGTGCTTCGGGCTGAAGGCCCGGTGCTTAGGGTTAATAACGCCTGGCTTAGAATCCGGTGGTTTCTCAGGATGGCGTGCGACGCGTCCATAAAAGATTCTTGGCTGCACTCACGAGGGTAGCTATAAATTAAACGTTTAGCTGCCTTAATAAGAAACCCAATAAACCCAAAAAAGGTAAGGATCTAAAGTTACAGTAAAGAAGCACAAAGGATTCTAGGGGTTGGCCAGGGTGCATGAGGTAGTCCTCGGCTCTGTTCGACAGCGCCTGGCTCAGGGTTGGAAGGTTTTGCGGTCAGGGTTTAGGGTTTAGGGTTTAGGGTTTAGGGTTTAGGGTTTAGGGTTTAGGGTTTAGGGTTTAGGGTTTAGGGTTTAGGGTTTAGGGTTTAGGGTTTAGGGTTTAGGGTTTAGGGTTTTGACAACCACCGGGACAGCAAGTTGGGCCTAAACATCAACAACATGGTTTTAGGGTTTAGGGTATAGGGTTTGGGGTTTAGGGGTTTAGGGGTTTAGGGGTTTAGGGGTTTAGGGTATGAGTCTAGTCATCTGGCTCAGCAGAACTTCTCAAGTAACAGTATACGTGTCGCTCTTGGCTCTTGCGCCATGGATCTCCTAAAGTCCGGGGATTGTGGAGGCTTTGTTTAGGGTTTAGGGTTTAGGGTTTAGGGTTTAGGGTGGGTACGTAGGGGGGATTTGAGGAATTTTGCCCTCTGCTGGTTTTGTTGCATGCGTCCTCGAGATTCCTGCAGTTGCCCCGCGCAAACCAAGCCCTAAACCCTAAACCCTAAACCCTAAACCCGAAACCCTAAACCCGAAACCCTAAACCCTAAACCCCCAACCCTACATCCAGAATGAAGTGCATCAGTACAAAGAGAAGCTGCAACTGTGAAGCTGAAGACGCTTCAAACTCACAGAACCCTAAACCCTAAACCCTAAACCCTAAACCCTGAACCCTAAACCCTAAACCCTAAACCCTAAACCCTAAACCCCTTCAGCGTGAAAGTAGGGCAACCCTAAGCCTCTGGGGGGGGGGGGGGGGGGGCTCCCAAAATAGGGGTAACCTTGTTAGGGGGGCTTCTATAATTCGGATAGACGGTCTTTTTTTGTCGTGTGATAACGGTTTTTTGTCGTGTATGAGAACCCTAAACCCTACACCCTTGGGTTTGGTAACCACACGGAAACCTAGGAGGTTTGGGGAGCCATGGCGCCATGGCGGGATGGACTTAGGGATACTTAGGGATAGTTAAGGCCCACCCAAAAAAAGAATCCTGAGGCTTCTGCAGCCTCCCTCTGAAAACTCCCAATCTCTACAGCACAAACCCTGAAGTCCTTAACAGCCTAAGCACTAAACCCTAAAATAACCTAAACCCTAAACCCTAAACCCTAAACCCTAAACTCTAAACCCTAAACCCTAAACCCTAAACTGCGCCTGGCGCTGGCGGCGAATCCGCGCAGCCGATGCAAAGCCGGCGACCAGTGCACCAACGGCCAGGGTGCTGGCAATCAGGAGCCTCAGGGATAGTTGCTGATAGCAGGGTTTAGGGTTCAGGGTTCAGGGTTTAGGGTTTAGGGTTTAGGGTTAAGGGTTCGGGTTCTCTGCGCCTTCAAGAACTCGACCGAAGAGTAACTAGTAATACAGCGGGTGCCTTTTTTGCTTTAGGGTTTGGGGTTTGGGGTTTAGGGTTTGGGGTTTGGGGTTTGGGTTTGGGGTTTGGGGTTTGGGGTTTAGGGTTTAGGGTTTACGATTTAGGGTTTACGCTGGGTGCTTGTGAGGAAACCTAAGCCCTAAGAAAAGGAACTAAGGGCCTACTCCTGGGTAGCCCAGTGACCATATTTTGACAAGAACACCTTTTTTTTGGGTTGGCTACTTTATGAGGGAACCCAGAACCAAAAAAATATTCAAGCAAGCGCAACCCCTAAACCCTACCCTCAAACCCCGAATCCCTAACCCGACTCCCTAACCCTAAACCCTAAACCCTAAACCCTAAACCCTAAACCCTAAACTCTAAACCCTAAACCCTGAACCCTGAACCCTGAACCCTGAATCCCTAACCCTAAACCCTAAACCCTAAGAAGCCCTTGAGAGCCCAATAGCCCAAGCAGCGTAGGCTTCGAGACGTTCGACATGGCTGCCAACATTGCGGGCGCAGCTTCCTCGTCCTCTGCAAGCGCAGAGGAGGGGTTTAGGGCTCAGGGAGTTTAGGGTGTAGGGCTTATAGTTTCCTTCCCTCGAGGGTCTCGGGCTTTGTTTGGGTTTTAAACCTTCGGCCCTAAACACTTTTCCCTTGTTCCAGGCATTTTCTGCAAACCCTAAACCCTAAACCCTTTACCCCAAACCCTAAACCAAGGAGCAGGGGGCGATATAGGGCTCAGGGTCATGAGGTCGAACTAGGCACAAATAGCTAGACCCAAGAATAACCTAGGAATAAGCAGGGTTCCGTTATCGGGTGTAACAGGGCTACTTATAAGGGAACCTAATCCCCCGAAACAAGGGAACAATAAGAAGAGCAACCCAGGAATAAGAAGGGTGCCCTACAGGGCTTATACTTATAAGGGAACCTAAAACCCCAAAAAAAGGGAACAATAAGGGCCTACTCCGGGTCGTAGATGGGGTACCCTGTTGGGTCTAGCAGGTTCATCAAGGAACCCAACTGACAAGTCCGATTCAAAAAATGAAGCCTGAAGCCTGAAGACTCTAGAACCCTCTACAAAGCCCCCTCAATTCTTAGAACCCCCCCCAAAAAAAAAAAAAAAAAAAAAAACTAAACGCAACCTCCTGTCAAAACCCTAGACGCTAAACCCCAGACTCTCGACCCTTAACCCTAAACCCGAGACCCTAGACTAAACCCTAACCCCTAAACCCTAGACCCTAGACCCTAAACCCTACCACCCTACAACCCTACAAACCTACGACCCTACAACCCTACAACCCTACAACCCTAAACCCTAAACCCTAAACCCCAAACCCTAAACCCCAAACCCTTAACCCCAAACCCTAAACCCCAAACCCTAAACCCTAAACCCTAAACCCTAAACCCTAAACCCTAAACCCTAGCCCTAAACCCTAAACCCTAAACCCTAAACCCTAAACCCTAAACCCTAAACCCTGGGTCCTTCTGCTCCTTGGCCTCCTTGGCCTGCTCTGCCTGCTCTTGCTTGGCCTCCTCGGCCAGCTCTTGACGCAGGTGCTCCTCCGCAAGGAGTTTAGGGTTTAGGGTTTAGGGGTTTAGGGGTTTAGGGGTTTAGGGGTTTAGGGGTTTAGGGGTTTAGGGGTTTAGGGGTTTAGGGGTTTAGGGTTTAGGGTTTAGGGTTTGGGGTTTGGGGTTTAGGGTTTGGGGGTTTAGGATTTAGGGTTTGGGGCTTAGGGTTTAGGAATTGGGGTTTCGGGTTTAGGGTTTAGGGTTTAGGGTTCAGGGCCTCCACAAGGAGGCAAATTGTCCCTCTTGAATCCCCCTTGCTTTTTACCTGAAGGCTCCAATGTCGCTCCTTTTTTGGAATAGTCATAGGGGGTTCTAGTATACTACCCCCCAAAAAGGTACCTCCTGTGAGGGGCTTTGGGTAGGCTTTCTGGTTCTAAACTCTTACTTAGTGAGCGTGCGTTCACCTATGTAAAGGCCCCTACCCTGAACTACACTTATGAAGCAGCCCCAAGGGCTCAGGGTTCAGGATTTAGGGTTTAGGGTTTGGGGTTTATAGGGTTTATAGGGTTTATAGGGTTTATAGGGTTTATAGGGTTTATAGGGTTTATAGGGTTTATAGGGTTTATAGGGTTTATAGGGTTAACAGGGTTTATAGGGTTTATAGGGTTTCGGCTTTGGGGTTTGGGGTTTGGGGATCCTTGTTTCAGGGGTATTGGCTTTGGCTTTAACTGCTGGGTCCAGCCCTCTCACCTGGGCTAGGGGTCCTCACTTTGGCCGAGGGTTACCGGAAGAACGCAAAACATACTCTGTTATAGGTTGCCTAAGAATCCTATACGGGGTTTTCATAAGAGCCTGCAAAAAAGTAAACCCTAAACCCTGAACCCTAGTAGGTTTGGGGTTCTTAGGTTTTTAGAGTTTAGGGTTTAGGAGCGAAAGGTTAACCTTTGGGATTCTAGTAGCCCCCGTGATAAACGGTTAGAGGTCACAAGCTGGATTGCTCAGCTGGAGTCGAAAATATACATGCTACTTGCACCTAAACCCTAAACCCTAAATCCTAAACCCCAAACCCTAAACCCTAAACCCTAAACCCTGAGCCCTAAACCCTGAACCCCAACTCTAAAGGATGCCGTCAAACCCCCTAAATCCTTTTAACGCGGGGGGGGGGGGGGGGGGGGGCCTAAACCCTAAACCCTAAGCCCCAAACCTTCGTCCAGCCCCAGGCGACGTGCACAAACTGAACCAGAACGAAAATCCCTAAACACTGCAAAAACGGGAGGTTGTCAAAATTATGATCCCTTTTGGGGTGCCTAAATATTATAGGTGCCGTACTATAATGGGGATCCAAAAAGGGACCATAATTTTGACAACCACCCAAATGCATACCCTGCTAAACCAAACCGAAAAACTTACACTTCCTGAGAAGGGTAATTTAGGCATGGGTTCCCTAAACCCTAAACCCTTCAAGCAAACAGTAGTACACCATCCTTCGGTTCAACCATGTGTGAAAGGGCTTCAGAAGCCCAAGGGTAACCCCAAACCCTAAACGCGAAACCCTAAACCCTAAACCCTAAACCCTAAACTCTAAACCCTAAACCCTAAACCCTAAACCCTAAACCCTAACCCTAAACCCCACATGCGCACCCCGGAGCTCCTTCTCCCAGGCCAGCTCCTTACGCAGGCGCTCGCGTTCCGAGGCAAGCTCCTCGTGGAGATGCTTCTTCTCCTGGCCCGGGGGTGTAGGGTTAGGGTTCAGGGTTTAGGGTTTAGGGTTTAGGGTTTAGGGGTTTAGGGTTTAGGGTTTCGGGTTCAGCCCAAACCCCCCCCCCCCCCCGGCTGGGGGTTGCCCAAAATTAGGACCCTAAACCCTAAACCCTAAACCCTAAACCCTAAACCCTAAACCCTGAACCCTAATCAAAAGGCACCCACATTGTTGTAGAGAGAGAGACAGAGAGCGGGAGAGAGCCGGTGAACAACGCAGGCTCCTGCTGGAGTCGCTCGTTCTCATCGGATTCCTCCGTGTTCTCCGCCGTGTTCGGTGCCTTTTGCTTTGTAGAGTTTAGGGCTTTTAGGGTGCCAAGTTTGGCGATGGAAGCTGACTTTATACTTCCTGAGATCTAGGGCAACCAAGGAATCCGGGAATGAAAGGTCCCTAAACCCTAAACCCTAAACCCTAAACCCTACACCTTAAACCCTAAACCCTAAGCCTTGAAGGGTACACTCCTGCAAACTTACATGGAAACTACGTGCATGATTTGGTGCAACTAACATAGCTACGGTTACCCGATTTCGACCCCTAATTTTCCCCAATAAAAGCGATGGCGAGGACCCCTCCGGAAAATTGTATGTTAGTGGTTATGCTGGGGTTGATGGGGCATTTTCCTGGAATTTTAGCAGCAGGCTGATGTGCTCAGGTATGCACACAACTTCCATGTTAGTGGTAAATAACTCCGAAAACACGCATGAAAAGGCCTTGCAGTCCTATTCCTGGAAGTCGCTACGCTAGCAGTGTTCTTCTGTAAAACAGGACTTTTGAGCATATTCCCGCAATTGCTAGGTTAGCGGTGCTCGTCGCCCACGACCCCCCTCCTACCCCCGACCTCCCGGAACTACCCCCTCCACCCGTGACGGCAGCCTCCCCGTGCTCCTGGAACCTTTGCCTCCCCCTCCATAATAGGGTATATCGCCGGAATTGCTATGTTAGTGGTCCACTCGCTTGTTTTGTTGGGTTGTGGGTGTGTACTGCTGCGCGCGGTCTCTGTCTGTGAGAAGCTGTGCAAACTCGCCTGCTGCGCGCGGTCTTGTCTGTGAAAATTCTGCCTTTTCGGCATAGTCCAGCAACTGCTAGGTTAGCAGCGCTTGTCTCCCACACCCCCATGACCATACCCTCCCGTACTCCTGGATCCCTCGCCTCTCCTCCGTGACTAACTGAAGTGGGCTTTGTAAGGTTATCTCCGGAATTGCTATGCTAGTGGTCCACTGGTCTGTTTTGTTGGGTTTGTGTGTGCTGCTGCGTGTCTCCTTCTGTGAGAGGCTGTGCAAACTCGCAGCTGGGAGCCTCCTGATCCTGATCCCCTTGCTACGTTATCAGAAACCCGCTTCCACCCTTCCTCCCTGACCCGCCGGACCCCATCCCTGAGCATTGCTATGTTTTTTTTACCCTTTTGGGGCGCTACAACCACTAACATGGCAATTCCGAGTTTTGGGGTATTCTTCAGGTTTTCCTGACAAAAACCTCTCCAGGCTGGGGGCACGCTGCGAGTTGCCATCTACCAGACGGAAACCACTAACATGGCAGTTCCGGCCGCGAGAAAAACTAACATACAAAGTGTCGTCGAAAAACACCTGCGGGGGTTTCTATGTTAGTTTGCAGGAGAGTAATCAAGGGAATCCCTACTTCCCTTCTACAGACTCTAAGCTCCATCTAACGCCATGTTTAGAGGGTTTAGGCGGTTTAACTAGGCTTCAGGGCTTAGGGCTTGGGGTTCAACAAAGCAAGACAAGACGAGCTTGGGCACTTTCAACCGAGCCCACGCTGCGCCTGAACGAAGCCCGAATTTCATGGGCCCCGCCCTGCATGTCAAACTTGAGCACCGCAAACTAGAAATGCCCTCTTGCCCAACCGTGTGCCTACAAAAACTACACGTGCGTGAACCTCATCTAACAAGTCGAAACCCCTAACCCCAAACAGACCCTAAACCCAACCAAGCACTAAACCCCAAACCCCAAACCCCAAACCCCAAACCCTAAACCCTAAACCCTACACCCTAAACCCTAAACCCTAAACCCGAAAGAGGCCGAAGGGCGACGGCCAGAAGTGCGGGACCCTTGGCCTTAGCGGCGGCGTCCTGGCGGTTCTTCGCAGAATGGAGTACGGCTCTGTTGGGTTTTAGGGTTTTAGGTTTTAGGGTCTAGGGTCTAGGGTTTAGGGTTTAAAGTTTAGGGTGGCTCTGCGAGGGTTCAGGGAGACTCTTGGGTGTGTTTAGGGCTTACGGTGGATTTCAGGCCCGCTGGCTGTTGTGTAGTGTAACTGAATTAAGCCAGTCGTCCCTGAAAGAGACCATACTCCCCTTAGAACCTTAATGGACATCATAAAAAATTTCCTAAGGGGGCTATGCAAGAGCCTTCCTGTCAGGGGGCTCGTGTTAGGAAGGGCCAGAATCAGGACGGGAAATCCCAGGCAGGATACGGTTCAAGGGTACAGGCTTTAAACATGTATACATGTACTAAGGGGCACCTGGATACACACACACACACACACAGCTTCTGCGCTGTCTAGGTGTGCCGTTGCTGTCGTGGGCAAAGCAAGAATCCCAAGAATCCCTCTCCGGCCCGCCCCCGCCCAACTATGCCCTAACTAGATACTACGCCCCATACATTCCCACTTAACTAAGAAACGGCATACGAGGGTATTAAACAGATTCAGGTGAAGGTCACTGCTCCCCATATATACCGTCTATACCACCCTATATAACCCCATAATACCCTGTATACCCTATGTACGCTATATTACCCGATATACCCTATACTACCCCTCTATACCCTATATAGGGCCGTATATTTTACCCTGTATACCCTACATACCCTATATACCCCTACATTCCCTATACCCTGTATTATCCCTATATTACCCTATAATACCCTATATTACCTCCATATTACCCTATATTGCCCTATAGTACCCTAAACCCTGAGTCAGGGAGTGGCTTTAGGGTTTAGGATTTTGGGTTCAAGGTGTAGGGCTTTATTGCCACCCGTCTAGCCATGCTCCACGGGGCAACTGAAGAGGGG